TACACTGTATGTTGTAGATGACTCCTGTTTTTTCTTCTTGGGCTACTGGGTCTTTTGGTTTAAGATGTTTTGAAGGGCTTTAGTTGGTTTGTGTGCCACGGAGATGCCATGTGCTTGTAATAATGTAATTATTGTTGTTGCTGTTATTATTATTGAATGACTGGCCCAAATCACCCAACCAGTTTCCTTGCCTAAAGGAGGACTAGCATCTGAGTCTCCCCATTCCTAGTCCAACTGTTTAACCACTACACCACACTGGTTCTCATAATCCTAAATATAATTGGAGGAAGTAAGTATTAATAATAGCAATGACAAATTTAAGGATACATGCTTAGATTTTCACTCTCAGCCTCCAAGAAAATTGGAGAAATACTACACTGGCCAGCATCAAAAAATGTAACACATCTTGTACATATAGTCTAGCCTCACCACACCTCTTATTCTGCGAAAGCACTCACCTAAATCATGTGTGACATTGAATCCATCTTGAGCTATGTCTGCAACAAGGCCCAACAACTGTCTCCATGGCAGCCTGACAAAACAGAAATAATGGCTTGACTTGACAGACTTCAGCTCATTAGTGATATAAACCATAATGAAAATGTTACCAAGTAATTTTAGGCAGATTTTTTGAATCCCATTTTATGTAGAAGCCAAGTTGATTTTGTTTGTCCTTCTGCTGTTCTGAAGATGATATACACAACTAACCACTGACTGGGACAAAAATGTAAACAAAGGATGGTAACTACAATGGGGTGCAAAATTTTTGGCCAAGTTCACACTTGTTCTTTGAAGGGCATGCTTGGTCCTACACTAAAACAATTAATACTAATACTGGAGGAGGAGGAGGAGGAGGAGCTGCTACTTGCAGATCAGAAATAGCCAGGGCAAGAAATAAAACTGAGTTGGTTAAATTTAAATTATTTGTCAAATACAGTTAATAAAATTATTCCTTGTACATATTGTCTGAGCTTTGCATTTTCAAGGGAAATGAACAGAAAGAAGAAAAACAAAAGTGACATGTCTGTAAAATCAAATGTGAATGGGACAGACATGTTTGCTGTGCTAAACTGCACAAGGAAATGGGATCAGCCATATCTCTAGAAAAACTGTAATTTGATGGACAGAATCCCTTGTATCAGGGACCAGTCAGTTTTCTACTACAGTGGGGGTACACAGTGGGAGGCTCCAAGGGTATGTGTGACCCTCAGGCCCTCAGATGCAGCCTTCAGAACACCTCCAAAAGTTGTTAGGAAACTTCATTTAATGTGATAGAACGTTATTAAATCATATTAACTCTCTTTAATTAACTTCATTAAATTTAATTTTTACATTCTGAGCTATCTTTGGAAGTGTAGCTCTTGGCAGAGGTCTTAGAAGTTGTGATTTCTGCCTTCATTTCCTATCACTACTTTGCTTCAGTTCTGGCATATTGTTATTCAACGCATACTTCATCTTCCAGTTGGTGCTGAACAATGGAGTGCACCTACATGACAAATGTTCTTTACCTCCCATAAGACTGATGTGCTTCATGGAGTCCTTTGATCATGCCTGGAACACCTACCAGGAGACCCGGCTAGATAAAAAAGAAGAACATAAGGAAAGAGTCAAGAGCTTTACAAACAGTGCTTTAAGTGGAATCTAACTTTTAATTCATTTTAAAAAACTGTTTATTCTTTTAATTTCTTTAATCAATTTGTAGAGCCATCCATTCAACAATAACTCAGGGTGGCTTTACAAACTGATTAAACAAATAAATAATATTAAATTTTAAAAAACTCAAATAAGAAGCAAGAAGATAATGTACAGCGGAGATGCAAATTCTTTAAACAGGAGTGAGCCCCAATGGGCCATAAAAAAAGGGAATGTTGTTAAAAATACCAGCAATATCAAGAGAGTCTCTATCAGAACTGGAAAATAAACCTTTGTTTATAGCACTTTTATTAATTCAGTGAAGAGAACAGGAAATGACAAGAGATGAATGGAGACCTTTACCAACCAACTACTACCCAGCCCTTAAATAATAAAGGTAATCACCCACCTTAGTTTCCCAAAACTTGCTAAATCCCTCTTCTTGGATGTTGAAGGGGGCTGTCTCTCGGAAATCAACAACCTGGCTTTCATTCTTCCTGATGTCATGAACCAGCATTACCCCTCCACTGCAACAGTGGAACCGTAAGTCAGTAAAATTTACATTAAGAATACTTTGTCAGCCATAGGATGTCTTCTTCTCAGGATGAACTCCAGTACAAAGAATCTACTCCTTACAATAGCCACCCCAAGGCTGGTACCTTCTGCACATCCTTTTCTTGGAGGCAATGACAGCCCCAGTCATTCTGCTGCCGGCTGCCTAACCAATGTCATTCTGAAGGAGTTCTCAAATTGATGCATTGTGAAACAGCTGCAGTGGCTGTGGGCAATATGTTGAACTGAGGACCCCCTCATAATGATACATGGGAGACAGGTGCATTTTAAACACAATGAAAAGACAGCTCAGGTAGTGGGTTGGGAGAGCAGTGGGTGGCACTTGGCCCCAGTTTGACATCTGTCTTGGTTTGATGCTCAAAGCAGCTGCTTCATCTTACCCAATGGTAAGACTCGCATTGCTGAAACACTCAAGAAACAATATTAGAGTAAACAATTCTGGGTAGATGTATAATAGGACAATCTATTGTAAGCTAGCTTTCTATTTCTTCTATATCAGAGCTGTATGAGTCTATTCTGAAAAGATTAAACTGAAAGCACTTACCTCTGCTCCAAAATGGATAAAAAAAAATGTACAGGATATTAATAAGAAAGAGTCATAGAATGCTTTAAAGATAACAGATGCAATGTAAAAATAACTTTTTTGAACCCTATGTTGATATATTTCCTTTAAGAGACTCTGCTGCTTCTCATGTATGTGTTATATAGGTAAGACCTTAGGGTAAAAAAAAAAAATAGGCCTAATATAGGCTTCTCTTTTTAAACCATGGCTACTATTCACCACATACTTTAATCACCACTTAAAATAGAGCAACTCTAAGTTATTAGATCCAGCCTGTATGAAAAGGAAGTTTAAATTGGCCTTATCTTTGTGGGCTGTTTTTATTTCTCTATTCATGAATTTTGATTAAATTAGGTGTATACCAAACTAGAGTTTCCAGTTTCAACAAAAGTTCTCTCAAATCCCAGCTGATGGGTCATTATCAGATTACACTGTTTATGTAATTGCATGCCCTAGAGCTTCCTGGTGTTCCAGTCATTGAGACCTTGAAATCTCTCTTGCATAATACCTACCTAAAACAAACAGCCTGATTACTGATGGAGAGTAACAGCTCTAGGCAATATGTATTGCAGATAAAAACAGGCAGAGTTTCAAACACACCATCCACGGCCACCATCTTAACTTTACCATTCCTTGTGGACATCCCTGGCACCATGATGGCTGCCACAACAGCAGTGAGGATGAGGGCACCCTGGGCTATGCCAAGACATTGGAGCAATGATCATCTAAAATTTGAGGACTGGCTGTGCAACAAATCTGGGTGGGCTCTATCTCCAGCCAGATGGAAATCTTAGGAAAAAAATTACCACTGATTTGCCCAAACTGGACCAAACTCACTAGATAACTTTCCTAGATAAGACTCTAAATTGTTCAGTATAAAAAAACTAGCAGATAACATTTTGGGGGTATAAGATTTCTCCACAATGCCTTGTGGCAAAATCCACTCTGGACTCAACCTCAAAAAACTTTTCAGTGTCTTTCAGCCTAAAAGTCTGCTGCTTGAGCAATAGACATTAAAATATAGGATTGCCATTCAGAAAATGGCTGAGAATCTCACATGATTTTCACCATTTCAGAACAATATATTTCATGTGGGAATAAACAGGATTGATACTCACATCAATTGTTACAAAAGCATACTCCCGCATTGGTCACCAAAATTCACTCCCAAATGAAAATAGAAACCTGTTTTTGGATGAAGGCTTCTCTTTGTAAGATGGCAACAAATCAATGAAAGAGATCCTGTTGGGCACCTACCCGCCAATGCCGGCTGTGTGAGGGTTGATAATTCCTGAGCATAAGGCGGAGGCAATGGCTGCATCCACTGAGGAGCCTTGCTTGTTCAGTACCTCAATCCCCAATGCAGTGCAGCGAGCAGCATCAGTGACTACAGCACCCTGATGGAATATCTGTGAGAAACCACATGGTGAGACAATAGCTACAGATGCAATTGACTGAATCATCAGAAAGACCCCACCATCCTAAACCTTAGATTTATCCAGTCGATCATCAGGTGTCTCCATGACAGTACATTTAGGACATATCTGGCAATTGTGGTTTATGTAAAGGTAGATGTCAGCTTGCACAGCAATTGTTGTACAGGTAGTCCTCGCTATCCAACCACAATAGGGATTGGAATTTAGGTTGCTAAGTGATTTGGTTATTAAGTGAATTGGAACTGATTTTACGACCTCTTTTACGATGGTCAGTAAGCGAATCCCATGGTCCTTAAGTGAATCCAGCTTCCCGAATGGATGTTTTTTTGCTGGAATTCGCTTAACAACCATATGATTCGCTTAATGACTGCAGTGATTCGCTTAATTACCATCATAAAAAAGGTCGCAAATCGTGATCATATGACCATGGGGGTTGTAAAGCACTTTTCCCAAGACTGTTGTAACTCCAGACTGTCGTTAAATGAACAAATTCTGTTCCCAAGGTCTGTCCTTAAGTCAAATTTGTATGTAAGCCAGAACAGTA